GGGGGGGGTGGCGACGGTGCGGCCCGGCGTCGTGCAACCGTGACACGGAATGTTGGTCCCGATAAGCACTTGCGCGGAGGAATGCCTTCCACCGCCACCACGGGGCCCCAAAGGCGCACAGCAGGCACAAACCAAACGGAGGCAGAAAAACAAGAGCAACAAAACGGAAGGAAAACCCCAGCAGAAGTAGCAACAAACAGCCAGCCAGCAACGACCAGCCCAGCGGTATGAAGCCCTGAACGGTCAGCCCCGTTAGGGGACGAGCCGAGCGCATCAGTCACACAAGGCTAACTGCTGCGGGAGCCTCCCCGGCCGAGCCTAGCGTTACAGTATTGATAGCACGTCGTTGCGTCACGCATTGCGTCGCAACCGTTACGGAAGCGTCACGCGTCACTTCATATGGACGCAGTGGTTGAGTCGATTTGGCAAAGAGAGGGAATTATTTCAACGGTTCTTTATCATTCCATGATAGTTTAGTGATGGGGCAGAGAGAGAGACGTGCCCGTCTTTAGAGCCGCCGCGCCGCCTCAGCTGACGAGACGGTCGCAATGCGGTTATTGCGGCCGGTATCATGATCGTGATGATGATGAAGATGTTAATAATGACATAATTAACGAATCCTCCTCCCCTCCTCTCTCTCTCTCTCTCTCTCTCTCCCCTCCCAGCACCTTGCTTTAGCTTCATTCCATCTTCTTTTGCCCGACTCATACTTTTTCCCGCTCCACATCATCGGCAGTGGAAGGAATGTCACACACTTTTACAGAGTGGGCCCTGCTGGGCCCGGTGCGTGCGCCCCCGCACTAGCCTCGCACAGCTCCTCTCCAACCGCAGGGGGACTGACGCGATGGCGAGGCGCAGAGCCTTGATGCAGTGTTGAGAGAGAGGACTCGGGACGGATGCACTACACACACACACACACGCATCCTCGACGTCGCGGGCTAAAAATGTATAACGCTTTCCCGCCGAGACTATCCGCACTCACTCCACTCTGCGGCTACCGCGACCCGTTTCTTCAGCGCGACGCCTCACACAGCTGCAGCTGCAGCACTGCACCGCCGCTGCAGCTGCAGGTGAGGGTAGCGGTGCGAGCGCCGCTCCGCGGGGCGTTGACCCGCATCATCGCTCTGCACTGTCACGGCATTCTCACACACCGTCATGTGTCCCACTGGCAAAAAGGGGACAAAAAATAAAAATAATGTTAAGGCACGCGCCTTTTTAAGTTTTTAAACGAGGAAGCAGTCCATATGTGTTACTTTTGAGACACACCAAAGTATTCACTATCCAGTCAACCACAAATAAACATGCAACGACTAAAATTTGTCAGTGAAAATTTTTCCCTACAACGATAGACATTTCCAATCAACATTTCGAAATGTTTCTTGAAATGATCATGATAAATTTTAATCAAATTACACATGCAAGTAATTACCACTGACTCTTGCTTCTCTTTCTATCTAGTAACAACTTGTAGTCCCAGCACTTTTGTGCTGTAATCCGTCGCCACCGCCATGGCAGGCTGCTGGCCCGAGGGCTAGCCCCCACCAGCGTATCGAGAGGAAAAAGAGTGAGGGGGAGAGGGGGGGAGGGGAGGAGGGAGGGGACGGGGTAGATTGACTTCACGGCGAGTTTAGCCGTCTAATCAATCTGCAAAAGGCCCAGGGCGGGACGTCTCGTCCAAACCACGTGGGCAACAAGGAGGGGGCCATGCTGTTCGGTCGGGCCCGTACACTCCGTGGGCTCTGTGGGATCTGGGAGGGGAGATCCAACTTCATTCTCACCTAGGGATCGTCCAGAAAGTACGTCCGCCTTTATGAGGTTCATTCGGCAAATTGCCGGGGCTCAGCGCCTGCGAGACTCGGGGTAGGCCACCCCGCAGTGCACACATGCACTATATGTAAGGTGTTGCCTGCCTATCAGGCGCTATGAGAGCTCACATTCGCTGAACTTGGCAGGTTCACTACGGCGGAATGAGCGACGTGCTTTGTGGATGATAACACGTGAGTAGCTAGCTTAACTCTACAAAAATGTGCCGCAAAACCATGATTAAGTAACGGCGTAAGGTCGTCGAACTATTGAAAAACGTCTGGAGTAAGACAGTAACGCATGCACGCGTGGGCGCGCAAGTTGCCTATTGTTTCGAGCCGTAAGGCGCCAATCCCAACCGAATCAGCTACCTGGTATATATTAATTACCGGTGCTCGTAAATAAGTGACAATCGAGACTTATCGTGTTATGTTAAACCGGAGGATGAGCTCAAGCAGCAGCCGGTACGGTTTGGGGAGCCCCCCAGTCTGGCGAGCCTCCTGGCCTGGTGGGCCTCTCGTCTCGTCCCTCATCATGGGGCTTAATCGATATCAGCCCGCATGATCGTTCCAGCGCCCGCCGCACATGTTATATTGCCTTGCGCTTTTTATTTTGCGATATACAATACACCTCGGGGGCGGAGGAGGTTGATGTGAAGAGGACAACGAGGTGGAAACACCACATACGAAGATAAAGTTCCTCCGGCCACGCAGATACAGTACAGCCGCGTGCAAAAACCATCGAGTACTTTCGCACCTCAGTAAAAATTAAACAAGTAAAAAGGGCACACGCACTGCAAAAACCAAAAGAGCGAGATTTTCCCACTGGCTTCCTTGAAGTGATAGTTTATAAACCTCACTCTTACTTATTGAGTGAGATCAAACAATATCACTTGACTTAAGAGAGACAAAAGGTGGCTCTACAATGGAAGACAGGACCCCTCACCCATCATTTCAAATTTTGCTAATATAGATACAGCTTGGATTTGATAGCCATGCAACTTGGTGGTACAGTGATGCATTGCATATATTTTCATAAATTTTGAAGACATTACAGAGCTTTTTCAACGGTGTACTGAAAAATGATGGGTCATGATATGGGTATCTCAAAAAACTCATAAATGTGTTCAAAATCTGTGAAAACATACATATTGCCTTACTGAAGTACCCAAATTGCATTAGCAAACCTGGGATATATCCATAATAGCAACATTTGAAATGATTTGTTAATGGGTACTGTGTTCCATTGTGGAGCCACATTAGCATTAGGAAAACTCTCTGAAAAATAGAGAGGTTTCCGAACCTCCACCTAAATACAGTGAGCAGATTAGATACTTTTAAACTATTTCTGTAATCGGGCTAGGAAATCAAACCTCGCTCTCAGTGCACAGCAAGAAAATCTACAGCACAAGTCTCACTCACATGAGGGAGACATGAAGGAGACACAAGCGAGCGCTCGTTCCAGCATTCCCAGAGAATTTTTGTTTCTTTCATCTTAAAAAATTACCTTGACATTTCCCAAGAAACTTTAATTTTTTGAG